TTATTATCAATAAGAATTTGCTACGATAAATTATTATTGATAATCGTCATGAGGAGTCCTTAACTTTAGGATGTAGTTAGGCAATTCAATATTCATGTATGTGTAAATTTATTACCATAATTGAAGGTGAGTCGCGTTAAACAAGTGCCCCCCAAGTACCCCCCCCCCCCGACCAATTTCCTTGGGGAAACCTTTTGAGATAATGTTATGGAGAAGTTTAAAGCTGGATTTGGACACATAAAGACTTCCCAATCTTTAAACATCTAAAGGAGCTCAGTGCAAGTGATCATATTGAAATRGAAGGAGTATCAGACCACTGCAATCTACCAAGACCCGGCCGTCCCTCTAAACTTTCATCTGGAACAAGGAGAAGACTGATCAGAGATGCAGCCAAGTTTTTCATCTCCATTTGTTCATCTCCTGTCTGAATGTTGTCCAATTATATCCACAAAATTCACAAGAATCTATCAATGAAATGCTTCCCAGGAGGAGCATATTGATAATGTATGGATGACCAGGGTTACACACAAAAACCCTTTTATACATCTAGGCCCAGGAGCCCACAAGACCATAAACCACCCATGGGTTAAATGGGTTATTTTCATATAATATTATATGTTATGTGTTTAAAGTGTGTCACATGCCCCGCCCCCACTCTCACCTCACCTCCACCTAATGAGAAAAAAGTCAGTAGTGACATGGTTCTCACTCAGTGAGCTCAGTCTTCTGAAAAATGACCAGTTTTTATTGATCTCATGCCGACTGAACATATCAGCCTCTTACTTCAGACCCAGCTTCAGTTTTAACATCCATGACAGAGAACTGTGCAGTCACATTAATAAACAGTTGCACACAGTAGATGTCAGTTGTTACATAAGGTGAGGATTCACAGTGAGCTTGAAAGTTAAGGTCAGGTCAGGAAAAATGGTCTCACACTTCATGAACCCCATAAATGTGCGCAGGTACGGTCCGGTGCCCCGAGCAGGAGTCTGGCAGTGAATCAGATCTCTCTTATTCAAAGCTTTCTCTACTTTTGATACAGAAGAGTTGTACAGAGAGTGTTGTAGCTACACAGCAATGATGTAACTGGACGCTAACATATGAACAATCCAGAGTCTCTCAGCATGTTTTAGTGGATCAGGAGGGTTTTACTTATAAAATACCTGCTCTAAATAAGTGATCTGCTTTATTTTAATAATGTATAACATCACAGCACAGTATAAAACAATGTATTATGTGCTTTGTGGTGAAGGAAGCAGCATTAAGAGATTTATTATTGTTTTAAATGATTGTTTAAATGATTTGATATCTTTAGATTGACTCTCTAACTGGCCTTGGAGTGGTGAAAGTGGAGTGCGGCTCTCAGTTCTCCGTGGCGCTGACTAAATCTGGGGCAGTCTACACTTGGTATGTAGTCCTGCGGAGTGAGGGTCCATCACATGATGCAGCGATGAGGGGCTCAGCTGAGCGTGCTCTTTTTGTTCACAGGGGAAAAGGTGACTACCATCGGCTGGGTCACGGCTCTGACGATCACGTGCGACGACCCAGACAGGTTCAGGGGCTGCAAGGAAAAAAGGTCATTGCCATCGCCACGGGGTCTCTGCACTGTGTTTGCTGCACAGAAGAAGGTAAGAAGATTGTTGCTTTTAGCAGGAGCTGATGAGTCTTTGAGTCGCAGCTTTTATAAAGTTGCAGCTTCACAAAAAAAATTTGTTGTTTTCTAAAAACCAGGAGAGGTGTACACTTGGGGTGACAACGATGAAGGCCAGCTCGGAGACGGGACCACTAACGCCATCCAGAGGCCGCGGCTAGTGGCCGCGCTGCAGGGCAAGAAAATCAACCGAGTGGCCTGTGGCTCTGCTCACACTCTGGCCTGGTCCACCAGCAAGCCCACTAACGCTGGCAAACTGCCTGCACAGGTACTGTCCCTGCATGTCCTGTCCATTTCTTCCAGCAGGTGGCAGTAACGTTTTACAAAAACAGGTGACCTTCAGTTTCAGTTCCTGCCCACTCTATTGTGTGGTGTTTTTCAGGTTCCTATGGAGTACAATCATCTGCAGGAGATCCCCATCATGGCTCTGAGGAACAGGTTGCTGCTGCTGCATCATTTCTCTGAGCTCTTCTGTCCGTGCATCCCCATGTTTGACCTGGAGGGCAGGCTGGGTCAGACAGGCCACGGCCCATCAGTCGGCTTTGACACACTCAGGGGCATCCTCATCTCTCAGGGCAAGGTGTGTAAGAACGAGGGGGAAAACATGGATCCATATAACTACAGCAGAGATGAGCAACTTAAATGATGGAAAGGGACACAACTTTATGTTGACACTAGAAGCACTGCACACTTACGCTGCTTGGTCAAAAAAAAAATCACCAACAAACAAAAGGTCAGGTCAACTGTTCAGCATAGAGTTAGCTGCAGGCAGACTCAGGTAAATTATGTTCCAAATTTAATAATCGCAATCAGTAAACAGTTGTCAGTTTTAAAAAATGTGGACCTACACGCAGAATAATACGGTAATACAGGGTTTACACAGTTCTAATTTAACAACTGCTGATATGATAAAATATATATTTAATGAATAATAAACTGTTTCTCAACCTCACAATATTTTTTTTGTTATTACAATATTTTAATCCAACACAGTGATATGCATTTTAGATAAAGCACAGACCTATAGTACTAATAAAACAGCACTTTTTAAWAATGTTGTCTGTGTGGGAGACACCATCTAGTGGCAAACCTTTTGATTACGACCCATTCAGTGCCACTGAGACAATTTATGCATTTTTGTAATTAAAAAAATAATGTAAGACAAGGCTATTCAACTAAAGTGTTCTGGGGGCCACAGTTACTGCAGGTCAACATGTCAGGGGCCGAACATCCAGCAATTAAAGTCATTATGTAAATAAATCAAGTATTACAAAGATCTGTTACATTTGAATTAGTTTATTTTGCTGCATTTAATCATGAATACAACATACAGAACCCTATAAAAGTAGTGATAATAAAACAATGTCAAAAACAAAAAAAAAACACGTTCTGCCTCATATTTAACACAAATATTATTTTGACATCTCAGATTTGCCAAATTTTTTAACGAATTTCAATTTCACTTTAATAGTTTTATGTACAACTGCTTGTACTTTTAACTGTCTTGAGTGTTCATAGAAATGTTTTTTACCAGCTTGTAGCCAAGATTCTGATATTTCTGTAGATACCAAACATGTCAATGTTTAACTAAAATAACTTATAGTAATTAAAATAGAAAACAGGGGTTTGGACTTAAGAGATGAATGAACCAATTGGCGGGCCGAATTTTGGTCACTCACTGGCCGGATGTGGCCCCCGGGCCTCCAGTTGGCTATCTCTGACCTAAATGGAAGTAATATGTCTGACCAAGGGATTTTTTAAAATTTATTATCTCAATTTTATTTGCAAACAGGAAGCAGCTTTCAGGAAGGTGGTTCAAGCTACCATGGTAAGAGACCGACAGCACGGACCTGTGGTGGAGCTGAACAGAATACAGGTACAAACACAAAGCCTCTTCAGTGGTTCTTGTTCCCCTCATCTGTCTCATTC